TGAATTTAAAACCGTTAAATCACTGAAACTACATAATGACAGTATGATCAAGAACGATGGTAAAGGCAACGCTACGGTGACTACGGATAAGTTTAAATATACCAACAAATGCCATGTAGTGTTCAATCAACTATGGTCTTCCAATAGATTTTGATCCCCTCTTTCCTCGCTCACAAACTCTGATGACTCCTATAGGCTGTTGTCCAACATAGTCACCTAGACCCGAAATTTGCATTTCATTGAAACACCTCTCATATCAAACTATAATCACCTGACACCGTATTTTACTGCTTTTCCAAAATACATAAACCCAATGTTCCCTTTAGATCGACTGTCTCAACAGCTAATTGTTTTCTCCCATAGGTTTCAGTATTTGCCGCCACAATACTCAATCCTTTAACTGGAAAAACCAATCATACACATTCATTTATTCATTCATCTTCCATGGCCGCTTCTCCTCTCGGGTCGCAAAGACAGACGCGTCAGACACTGGTTCCAACGTTCAGATCCTGCGCCAGAGTCTGATCTTCGGCAGAAGACAACTGGAGTATGGAACAGACTCCTTCCATAAATTTGCACCAGGTTAATGTTGGCCGTCTCCCGGGCCTTCTTCAGATCGGTTTCGCAAGAAATATTTGCTTAGCCTTCGTTTCTGGAGGCACGCGGAACACGTGCCGAAACCACAGCTTTGACTTTTCAGTCTGAAGAAGTAGTGGCTGTACGCCAAGGCTTTCTCGAATTTCTGTACTCCGGACTATATCGAGAACTTTAAGGCCAGACATTCCTCTCGAAAAGCCCACATCAGCCACTTGTACCTGGAATCGAAATTTTTCGGTCATGATCCATGACTCATGACCGTAGGTAAGCATGTGGATAAAGATCGACTTGAATACTGAGAGCTTAGTTTTCAGACTGAGCTCCGCTTCAATCACAACGGATCAGCCTAGTTCACGCAGAACGCCACTGGCAATTACAATACGCAAGTAGTTCTCTTCCCAAAATTTTTTATCACGCTCCGAGGTACTCCAACTACTCGACCTTCTTCACCGTCTTTTCTGTTAATCTGAAGAAAGCAACGAACAAGAGAACTAGAAAGCACTAGACTTTTCGTCTGAGATGCGTTCACACGCATGCCGGTCACATCGAACTCGGATGCGAACCTTTCTAGGGAGCACTGTAGATCATTTTCAAAAGATGCCAATAAAACAAGGTCGTCTGCAAACAGCAACCTTCTCGTCTTCATATCTAATTCACTGACACAGTCATCGCTTTGGCTGCTCCTGACCATTCTATTTACGTACAACACAAACAGGAGAGGGGAGAGGACGCAGCCTTGGCGCAGACCAGTGCGAACGTTGAATGGTTTCGACTTAACGCCATTAACTCTGACGCAGCACCTGCTATCAGAATATAGTGACTGAATGGCCCTTAGCAGCTCGCCATCTATCCCGTAGGCTCGCAGGCATGATCAAAGGCTGCTACGTGGGATCCGGGCAAAAGCTTTTTCTAGGTCAGCAAAACATGTACACCAGACGGACGTACTCCCACTATTTCTCAACAACCTGTCGCAGGGCAGATATATGGTCAGAGGTGCTACCCACACTGCCTTTACATCAAACACATAAAACTTTAATTTTGTACAAAACAGATTAAGCCCTCTGAAGGGAGCATCATGGCCAATTACGACGTTAAAGACTTATTTACTAATATCCCTGTCGATTATACCATTAAAGTAAATGCCAAGCATCTTCTAACTGATGACTCACTTAAAGAACGTACCAACCTCTCGGTTAATTATATTATAAAGTTAGTAACTTTCTGTATGGTATAAGCGAACTCTTTCTCCTTCGATGGTAAGTTCTTCAAATAAACCATGTACAACAACCCACTTTCCCCATTGTTGCCGAAATTTTTACGCAAAATTTTCAAAGACATATCAACGATATTTTTGCCATCTGCCCCAGTGAAAATAGAAAAAAGTGCCAAATCTTGTCAATAGCTTCTTCTTTCCAAATATCGAGCTAGCCGTTGAAAGCAAAAAGAGAATTTACCCTTTTCTGATGTTTCATAATTAA